CCATGAAGGAGGAAATTACCTATAGAGACCAAAACCTTTTTTTGTACCAGATTATTTCTGCTGTAAAGTTTGATATTTTAACATGGGAGTCTATAGGGATTGACTTGCTTTTGGAGCACGTTTCACTCAATATCCTTATCTGTTTTTCTCTCTCAGCTCTGCCGGCGATACCCTGGCTTTCTGCGTGTTTGCTTGTCTGACCCCCATCCAGAGCGCAGGTTGGTTAAAAACCTACTTTTAATTTCTTATTCTGAAAATATTTGTTGGATTCATTTAGTAACAAATTGCGTGAAACAAGAGAATGCTCATAATTACACAATTATATTCAAAGTAATCCGTTACTGTTGCAGGTTTTTCAGACGTTGTTGGGTAACGTTTGATCGTAGTGTCAATATCAAAGAGGTGTGCTGGAACCTTCAAAACATACGAGTAAGTTTGTCACTCTCAGCTCCTGTTTTGAAGTTGTTGTAATATGCAGCAGTGTTTGTGAAGTGCTGGATTTGGATATGTGTAAAGCAGAATGTGTGGCTGGTATTTGACTTTGTCAAACTTGTTGGACTTAGTGCAGCCTTGAATCAGCCTTTGCACCTGTTTTTATTACTTGTGTAATTTCCTAAACTGCAGTTGAGGCTATGAAAAGTTAGTTTTACTGTCTACCCTTCACAGCTGCGAGACTGTGAACTGGCACCGGGGGTTAACAGAGACCTGGCCCGCAGGGTGCGTAATGTTAATGGCATCACTCAGCACAAGCAGGTGCTACGCAATGACATCAAGCTGGCTGCCAAGCTCATTCATGCTTTGGACGACAAAGGAGACCTGTGGAGCAACAAGTCCCAGGAAGAGAGACAGAGCACTGAGGTACAGTACTGGTTGTCAAGCACATTTACATGTGTATCCACAGTTTAAACATATTGTTCTCAAATGATATTGTTATCACTAAATTTCACATTTGTGTGTTGTGTTTTTTATTTCAAAAGTTGCCAGCTCAGAACCCCATTTTGAAGAATATCACAGATTACCTGATAGAGGAGGTGAGTGCTGAGGAGGAGGAGCTCCTGGGCTCCGCAAGTGGGATGGATCCTGAGGAGAGCACCAAAGAAGGAAATCCTGCAGAGACAACTGTGGAGAGAGATGACAAACTGGCCAAGGTTTGCCTTTTCTCTTTATGACTGAATTGTGAATATATACAGCATAAGTAACTATCAAATGCATTATATTTCATCAAACAGTTTTCGGTCTGCCCTTTCTTTTGGACGTAGATATGATATTTTTAGTTCTTTACGTACTGTCTGTCATTCGGTTGGCTGGCTAAAACACGCTGATTGCGTAAATGATAAAAACTTTACAATAAGTCTTTGTAAGATTTCTTTGCCCTCTACCTCTTTCCAGGTTTTGGACCGTCTGATCTTGTATCTGCGTATTGTGCATTCAATTGACTACTATAACACCTGTGAATACCCGAGTGAAGATGAAATGCCCAATCGCTGTGGCATGATCCATGTTCGTGGACCCATCCCTCCAAACCGCATCACACATGGAGAAGGTCAGTTTGTTTCCTTTCTTTTGTTATATAATATGCAGGAGTACACTGGGGATGTACGATGTTGTTGTAAAACAGTAACTTTGATGAAAAGGTGTGTGCTCTTAAAAATTGTGCTCTGGAGTTAAACTGAATGTTTTAACTATGGACCCATAATTTTCTATTACACAATTTTGCCCACAGGCTTTTTAAGCATATAGCTGCCTTTTCTTAATAACTGAAACATCAACACTTAAACTGTCTAGATGTTTTTAATGTATGCAACAGTCTGCAACATAATATATTAATTATTTTCTTGCTGGTTTTTAAGTTGTGCTTTTGTGTAATTGCTGTGTACCTTTAAATATGTGGAATATCAATGTAAAAAATATATGATTTTGTATGCTGATACGGTGGTGGCTGATGAGTTCCTGCATAACTATGGCTTTAAATCATGTTAATAACCTTAGTCAAACCTATTCATACTTCTTGTGTCTTTGTGGTAACTTTATGGATTGGCTGGGTTAACTACATTTTAAAGCTTTTTTTTTTTCAAACAGTGCAACAGTGGCAGAAGATGATGGAGGAGAAGCTTAGTCCTTTGTTTAGTTTAAAAGAAATCCTGTCTGAGGAAGAGGCAGCAAAGATGGGCCGCAAGGATCCTGAGGAGGAGGTAGAGAAGTTTGTGTCGGCCAACACTCAAGAGCTGGGAAAGGACAAATGGCTTTGCCCACTAAGCGGCAAGAAATTTAAGGTGAGCACTTGTAAACTTAAGAGCTCAGAATTGTACATCTCATGGAGATGTTGTGATGTGATTTTTTTACTAAATGTCATGTTTTGAAATGTTTTGATTATTTTTCTTGTGTTTCAAAACTATTAGAGAACAAGCACATTAAATGTGTTCCTGCATTGTCTTTGGGTGTTTTGTTGCTTGATTCTTACTGTGCATTTGAAATTAATTTCCAGGGCCCAGAGTTTGTACGGAAGCACATCCTGAACAAACACGGGGACAAAATTGAAGAAGTGAAAAAGGAAGTGGTCTTCTTTAACAATTTCTTGATGGATGCCAAGAGACCGTCGCTGCCAGAGATGAAACTTCCTCCTCTCCCAGGTCCAGGTCAAGGTCAACACATTTAATCAACTCAGAAAATCATAGGATTGTAGTTCTTTAAAGGACCAGTGTTTAGGATTTAGGGGCATCTATTTGCAGAAATTGGATATAATATTCACAATTGTGTTTTCCTTGGTGTATAATCACTTGAAACTAAGAATTGTAATAAGTTTTCATTAGCTTAGAATGAGCCCTTCATATCTATATAGGGAATGGGTTGTCTTCCACAAAAGCCGCCATGTTGCACCACCATCTTTCTACAGTATCCCAGAACGGACAAACCAAACATTGGCTCTAGAGAGGCCTTCTGGTGTTTTTACGTTACCTGAAGGCCACTGTAGGTTCTCAGACATACTTGGAAAGGCAGGGTGAGGGGAGCGATATGCAGAAGGTTGCAACCTCACCACTAGGTGCCACTAAATCCTACACACTGGTCCTTAAACATAGACCCATTGAATAAATGAGTCTCAGCACTGTGGAAGCTGTGTGTGTGTGAAGCTTAAATAATCAAACCACATTTTGTTCACAACAGTATGAACTCAAGTTTTTCTTTTTTTTCTGGTTGTTTTTCTCCTACAGGTTTGCTTTCTCCCAGCATGCCATTTCCTCCTCAAGGTCTTCAGGGTCCAATGGGCTTTGGACAGCCTCGTCCACCACTAATGGGCTATGGTGGTATGTTCTCTGACTGCACTGTTTGTTTATTTTAAAAAAAATAAGCACTGTCAGCACAAAGAAAAATAAAATTTTACAAAGAAAAATAAAATTTTTCCTTGTGCTGACAGTAGGAGCGTGTTTGTCAGTCAGACCACTGCTTTTGAGTTGATGTGGAGTCCTTGGTTTCAACAGGTGGACCTCCTTACCCCCCAAACCAATACGGAGGAGGCAGAGGCAACTATGACAACTTCCGCGGACAAGGTGGCTACCTGGGAAAGCCACGCAACATTAGGTGAGACCACTGTACGTGTGATCTTTATCTTGCTATGAACCGTCTCTAATTTCTGCTATTGGAGAATTTTGACGCTCCATTATTTAATGATCATTTCTGTTCTTCTTTTCTGGGTCTTTGCTTTTCTCCTTGCAACCATCTCAGAATGTCACGCGGTGATCCACGCAACATCATTGAGTATCGTGACCTGGACGCACCGGATGATATGGACTTCTTTTAGAAGGTTTACTTGGTCTTTTCAGTCTTCAATCTTTACCAGTATTGTGTTCTGCTTGTAGTAATTAGATTATTTCCTTTCTCAAATATTTCATTTTGTTATTATTGTTCAACTAGAGCAAACTTCTGCTGTAAACTGGTTCCTCAATAAAGTTGTGAGCTAACTACATTAATATGTATTCAATGATCTATCAAGTAAAATAAAATTGTACGTGACTTCAGGCAGATCAGAGCAACAAGATGATAAGATACAAGATACTGATGAAGACATTCCTCCCAGGCACCTCATATCCTTCTGTGTTCAGGTTTGCATTGGACGTGTAGGATCAAGGTTATCATTAACACAGTGGTTATTGAGAAGGGCCAACAATGCTGGGACAGTAACGTTTTGTACACTGATAGGAAACACATTCATTTCATTTTCAGCAAGATGTTGTGATGTGGTTATGTCCATTTGTGCTTATGTTCAGTTCTGGAGAAGCTCATTTTCACTGTGGCATGTGTTTCGATAGCCACAACCCTTCTGATAAAGGAGTTGAGGCAGGTGTGAGGAATGGTGCCCTCTGCTGGATAAACCATTGAATTACCTACATGGACGTCTGCTGGACATTTCATTTAACACAGCTGCTAACAAGGAAACTACAGAAGGCTTGCAGTGGTGCAAGAAATATTCAGATCTGTTAAATGAAAATAAAACCAAATGCAGCCTCTTGTTCTACACAATATATGTCAGTGTACAAAAAATGCAGCTTTTAGCAGTCACATTATATTGTATGGACTTATCAAATGTAAAAGTTACTGTTTTGTCTGAATTTAATTTGCACAAGAACTTTTAAACTTTTAAAGAAGCATGCAAACACATTTTGACATAGGCAGCAAATTTTATTTGAAGCACATGGCCTTTCATCACAAGTATCAAGTCAAATATAGCATACCAAGACATTGTCAGTGCTTTGTGAACACAGCATTCCCACATAATGGGCGTCACATCTTTATTATCATTTAAGGCATTTATTCATGTTAAATACCTTCAAATACATGCAGAACTTACATTATGAACACAGAAACCTGCAAGCAATCCATTCCCCAATCCATTGAACATCAAATTCAGCTCATCAGATCCACACTTTAAGTCCCATTAAAGTTAAGCCCCATTTAAAAACAGCATATACAAACACAGCTATGCAGTTCATTTTGCAGTGAAATGTCTAAATGATTCGAAGCTTGTGGCTTTCAGACAGTCCACAGCTGACTTTGTGTTCGTGGAATAACTTGGACAGGGCCTCCATGTAAAGTGTATGATAGTGGTCAACCTCCTCCTCAGTAGGTGTAGCACACTTTGGGACTGAGATGGGACTTCCCACTGGAAGAATTGGAGTTTGAGAGTAAAACAGTCGGCAAATTAGGCTTATCTACAGTATAATGATGTACTCACCAACAGTGGTAACTGGAGTCCTGTAGGGCAGGAATGCCAAGCGCTCACCAACAAATAGACACGGGGCAAAACCCACAATGCTTTTAAACAGGTCCTGTAACCTCCGACTCAGACTGCCCTCTGAGAAAATCACCTGCTTAAACAGGTCATTCTCCCCGAATGAGTAAACAGGCACCAGATCAGCCCTGTGAGAGATCATTAGAGATTGAAGCAGTGTTTCCACTAGTGGTCTGTTGGTAACATTTGAGTACAATGATATCCACTTATGGGACTGTTATTTCTTGTGTTTTTAAGAGTGTTCTCACCCAAACTCAAGGGCCGTCCTGACAAATCCCTTTCTCTGCCTCACAACCACTATGTTTACTCCCGGAGAGGATGCCAGAGACTCAGCAGCGCCCCCTATCACAATCACCACTGCATTTCCTTTGCCACTTTTTGAAAGGAGGTGGACAAGGCTTGGTTTGCTGACTGGACAAAGGCCTAATTAGACAAAGTGAGACAGTAACATCAGTTTAATTCACAGGAGACTGATTTTGAGGAAAGGAAAGAACAAAACAAAGATATATCTTGTCCAGTTGTAAAATCAAAATCATGTTTAATGTGGTCATGACAGCACCAGCTGCTCTGAGACTCAGCAGGAAAGTTCTCACCAGTCACATGTACATATTGTTTGATTCCCATTTGCAGTCAAACAAGGTAAACTGCATTTTCACTTTATCTCTAGCTCATAAATGTAAAAGTATTAGATATTGTAGCTACACTGACATCAATAACCTAATGGGTCAGTGCCAGAGCGGGCCTTTAATCAGATTTGACCCCATATAAACTGCTTATCAAACTAAGAGACAGAATAGTTGAGCCCTTTTTATACCTCAGAGGGATTATGTTTTCAGGTTGTCTGACAGTCCCATTCTCGTGACTGTGATATCTCAATAACATCTTGATGGAATTTCTCATTTTGAACATAAGTTCACTTGAACGCAAAGATGAACTGATTAGATTTTGGCGGTCAAAGGTCATGGTCACTGTGACCTCACAAAACAAGTTTTTTACTATAACCCAAGAAGTCATGTGTTAACTAACTGCAACTGGAGTGGCTGGTGGAGGCACAAGGCGGTAATTCTAGTGTTCAACTTGTTTTAAATACCTGCAGACATTATGTACTCCCTAAGGAGTGGTATCCTGAAGAGTCCGGCCAGTATAGCCAGGGAGGGTCGCACCCCAGGAAACGCCTCAGTGAAGCCACAGCTTTCTGTGCTGAAGCAGGTAAAGGCTCCAGCGCTCATGATACCATGTGGATGACAGCCTAAGATGTAGTTTTTGTTTGGATTCAACTCAGCTGTCTTCACCAACTGAACAAGAAAATGGACACAGGAAGATTAACAGTCATCATCTGATGTTAACCATAAAACCAAGCTCAGTTTCACTGTATATTCTCTGATTGAATGACATATGCAGAGGCATTATGTTTTCAGGTTGTCCATCCTACTCTTGTAAACGCAATATCTCAGTAATTTCATCAAATTTGGTTCAAATGTTTGCGTGTACTCAAGAATGAACTGATGGCATTTAGGTAGTCAAGGTTCAAGGTCACAGTGACACAAAACCATAACTTGTTTTTTTTTGGCCATAACTCAAGAATTCATATACTAATTATGTCACGGTTTAATACAAATGTCTAATAGGATAAAATCATTACATGATGACATTTTATATCCAAACAGTCAAAGGTCAACTTCACTTTGACATCATAATTTTCAGCAAAAACACCTCTGGCCATTGTTCAGTGCTGTGACTCAGGAACAGAAGAGGAGATTGTGAAAAAAGTGAAAAAGATTTATGGATATAGATTTTTACAGATGAATTCCTATATCCGTAAATTTGCCTAAATAAAGAATCACCGCATATAATATCATAAACCAGGAATATTTTTTGACATCTGATACACTATTTATATTTGAGGATGTTTGATAAGCTCTGAGAAGATGTAGGAGTCATTCTGGGTGAATTGTACACATTCTTTTTTATTTTTTTTTATTTTTGAGAATTTGTGCTATATGTCTGTCGTAAGTCACATCTCTAATGCAGGATGAGTGTATGGCCTGTTTGCATTTTTAAGGTTAATGCTGCTTCTGTCTGCAAATAGTTTTACTAGCCAGCCACACTGAATCACTGTCACATCACCCATTTGTTAAAACAGGTGCAAGTAGTAATAGATGCAAAGTGAAACTTACTTTGATGGGAAAAAAGTCTCTGAGATGCTCCCATACCCTCCACTTCCTCACAGCTGATGTTCTCCTACCCCCTGATGGAGACAGTAGAAATCGTTGAGACTCTTGAGTGTGTCCCAATTTCACATTATATACTGCAGTAACTATAAATTATACATAATACATTATATACGAATTATTGTAGTGTACTGTATTAGTTAGTATATAGTATACAAAAAATCTGCATGTGTCCCAATTCCACACTACACATCTAATTAAGTGTGTAGTGTGTTGACACTGGTAAAGTGACAATAGAGTATACTCAAAACAGTCAGTGTAAATACTAAAAACTCTGCACAAAGGAAATGGAGGAGCCACCCATAGGTGAATAAAATAAAACTATGTTGCAGTGAGACAGCTTCAGAGCAACTTCAAAAAAAAAAAAACAGTTTTGTAAAAAAGGACATTTCAGTTTCTCTTCAAGTTTATGTGGCAGCAGCGTTCTAAAGTTGAAGTTTGATGTCCAAAATATTCTGTCATTTCCTGTTAGTATAAAATGGTTAGGTATGTTGATTTCTTGTATATTAGATACAAAAACAGTGTACTATAAAGGCTGGCATATAATAGACTGTATTTAATTAGTATGTTGTATGAAATTGCTACACAGCAATCCTTAGCACTTCTTTTATACTAACAAGAAATAATACAATCAAATCACAAAAATATATTTACTTTTTGGAACATTCAAAAAAGCCTCTTTTTTTTTTTTTTAAACCAACTTCCACAATTTGTTTTAATGTTTTCCAGCTGAGAGTATCTCCTGCATTTCCTTTGTGCCATGCATCACAGGAAAACAGTTCATCAACAGCATACATAAACTGACTTTATGGAGTAAACTTTTCTTTACTTCTTTTCACTACACTCCAGAGTGAACAATACAGAACCTGCTTATACTGTGTATGTAATATGGCACTGAGACACAGCTAATGTTTGGAATTCTGCAATTGTCATGGATAGTTGAATGATATCATTTCCTTTACCTCTTTCAGGGGTTTGCCAGTCCATCACCAGCCATATGAAGTACAGAGTGGAGAGCGGCCACAACGAGGTAAACATAAGATACACGATCATGATGTAACAAGCCACTCCTGAGGTTTCGATGTGTATCGTGCCGTGTTGGACAATATGAGTTCATATGTTGAGGGTACAAGAGATGTCTTAAATGAGCTCAGATACAATTGTGAATACAGTGCTGTACCTTGGTGAAAAACATACAAATTCATAAAGGGTAAAAGTGGTGGGATCTTACCTAAGAAGAGAAAGGACAGTACCCATTGCAGAACACTTATTGCCTCTAAAAATTCCTTCCACTGAGTTTTTATTTTAGTCATTCCTGGAACCTGGAGGCCACAACATCATCATCGTTTTAAGCAATCGATTACACTTAGACTGTGCTTTCATTCAGTAAAGGTCAGGCGTAATTAAATAACACATTTTATGCCTGTAGAAATGACAAAAGTTGCTTTATCTAATATAATAAGGAAGTTTAGATAGATGTCTTTATGATAGAAGCCAGATTACATCAGTAATCAGCTCTTCAGCTTGTGCTTTTAAACTTCCCTGAGGGAAAACATAGACTTCAAAACTTGCAGGGCATGCACCAGCCTGATCAAATGACTTACTTATGAACAGGCTCACAGGCAAAGTTAGACAGTAGGACTTATAATCTGGTCACAAATAAAACTTTTATCAGTCATGCTAGTAGCACCACAAAACACCTTTGGCTAAAAATCATTACGACAAACTAAAACAACTTGTATGATCATACTGCTAAGCATAAAGTACAATACTTTACCTTATTAGATTTTATTCCAAAGTAATTTTGAATGGATACAGATTCACCAGTTCAGGCAACCTCCATATGCAGAATGCACTTTGAGCGGATCATGTAAAGCTGCTGATAACAAATCCACTCCCCCAATACTTTGACACACTAGCAATGTCAGAGATAAACATAACAAAGTTTTATTGTTGTGTACTTTGTGTATTGAATTTTTGCTGAGTCTTCAGGACGATATGCAGTAATTTCATTATTGGGACCAGTGTTATATGTATTGTGTCTCTTTGGCTTTTAGTCACGTCAGTCTGCTGGAATTATTCAACTTGAGGGGATCTCAGACAGCTGTTGAATATTTGACTTGTAAAATGCAGTCGGCCTCCATATTAATCTCCTCATGGACTGACATCATTTGTCCTGTTTCTCATGAGTTACTTTAACTGTGCTAACATAAGACATACTCCTGTTTCCTCAGAGCAAAGTGTGAGTCTCAGTTTCTCTTTTAGCCAAAATACTTGAACAGTTGAAATAGTGCCTTTTACAGAAATATTGTTCTTGCTCACTAATTTATGTCTGATCAATTCTACATGCTTTCCCTATGTTAAGGTATCATTAGTGAAGCATAACACTTCCTGCAAATGTTCAAAATACAAGCCTTTAAAAGAAGTCCAGGCATTATGCTTCCTGAGCCCGTGGAAGGCCTCTGATTTGAAACCAAGGGAAGAGATACAGGAAGTGTTGAGTAAACAGCAGCAGCAGCAGCAAACTAACATGGCAAATTGGATGAGATCTGGAAACAGGAAGGCTTCACCTTTTGTGCAGATGACTTTGCAAGCCTGTTTTTATGCTTGATTTGAAAAAAAATGGTAAATTGTCATCCAGACACTTTCACGTTTTGGCCATCACTTGCACGTACAATGTACAATTCTTTCCTCACTTTAGAAAAGTAAAATATAGTGAGCTTTTTTGTCCATCTTCTAACCCAAAAGCTCATCTGCTACTGTACTGACCATCCAAACCTTCACACTTTGCCATTTTAACAGAGACAAAGCTGTGATCATTTTGTTAAAGGCCCTGCACACTGTCACTGGTGTTCTAAATGACCCTGGCTGATTGGTCCTGTGGGTGGTCAGAGCGATGCTGGGCATGGTGTGATGTCACCAAGCTCTGTTGATCAATCAGGCCAATGGCGTAAGCTGTCCCACCCTATAGGGTGGAACAAGACGAACTGCAGGGTGAGAGAGATGTCAAGTGCAGATTGTACACGCCCACACATACCTGAGAGGAGGTCTAATTAGATAACTTAGTGAAAACACCTGTGCGGGTTGACTATGTGTACGTAGGGACTTCAGCATTTAATCTCATGAGTCTTATGACACATAGCCTGATGGGAGATGTATTTGTTGAATTCTAAAAAAATAATGTAAAGTTTCAAAATCAACTGGTGCAGTAATGAGTTCAGATTTGAGTTGTTTCAGCATTTCATCAACACAAATGAAATCAAGACACTTTTTTTGATAAAATACATTTTTACATGCTGACTAGTGGAACAGACGGGCTCACCTAAGACTTTAATACGAAATACTAAATCATTTTGTTGACAGGAAACATGCTGGCATAATACAGTGATGATGAGTGTGTACATCAGTGTGTTTACTGATGAGTTAGATTACAGTTATGATGTATTACACATAGTGGTTGCTGTCTCCAGGTGGGACATATGGGTCCAACATAGATTTTATGCAATACTTGCTTGGTGTTTGGGCTACATCTGCACTTGCTGTTACAGATATGCCACACGTAGGCTCTAAATTACTTTGACCAGTGTCAGGAGAAGTTTGAATCAGTCGCTGAATATTTAAATGTGGAATTTGGATGCAAGTTTCTCCAGATATCTCACAGGATCATTGAGATCAACCTTCACAGACACACTTTAACCTCTGCATATTGCTGCACAACTCTATTTATTACCGTGGCAGTCCAAAGATTCCACTGATACAGCCTACGTGGTTAGAGGCCTGTGTTTCTCAAGAGGGACCACTCCTAATCTCTTACCTGGTTGTTAAAACTCATAGTTTTACTTTCTCAGCTGGACTCGCCATACCAGTCGCCCATAGACTTTAGGGGGCGTGTCAGCCTCACACAGGCCATGTGTTGGCTAGTTGGTCACGTGACCCCCCACCCCACCCCCAACCCTGAAAAAAGGAAAAAAAGAAAAAAAAGAAAAACATCACATTTGTAATATATATAAGGCTAAATATCATTATTAAGAGGTCCCTTTTCTTTACATTCTCTTTTTCTTTGGATTCAACTGTTGTCGCTTTTTTTTGACCAATAAGAATCTTTCCCCTTGGCATTCATTGAAATGACTGGTCATCTAGATGCAGTCCAAACAAAATGTCATAGTAATATTCATCTGAAGGCTTAGCCTACTTTGCGTCTGTGGTACTCAACACTGGGTTCATAGCGAGCTGATTTTATACTTAATAGTATTTTATCCCCTGTTACATCACTGTATCGCTTCCATAACATTTTCATATATGACTGTTCTGCTTTGTTTTTGTGTATCCTACTACTCTTGTAAAATAAAAAGGCTCTAGTTCATAGTGCTTGAAAAAACATGTTCTCTACTTTATGAAGAGTCCATCCGAACATTTAATGAATCTTGCTGCTGAATCCTCTGCTAAATATGAGCTGTGAAAGGAAATTTAATTTCAGTCCACTGATAACAGCAAAAAGATAGCTTCTCGTCGCAGTTGGACTCAAAGCCACCTCTTGTGCTTTTTTCGAAAAAAAAACCCCACTGGTCTACTCTCAGGAAGTACTGTATGAATATTAATATGGATGCAAATGCACAGTGAGGATGCCCAGCGCTTGAACCAACACAGCGCGCTGATATCTGCGCATTTTTGTTTTGGCGTTTTGTTTTTTTTCTCTCCGGGGCTGAACTGAACTGAAAACATGCTTCTTTTGCGGAGGTCGTGTCGGAGGCTTTTATGAAATACAAAAGGATGGCGTTTTACCTGAGCGTTTGCAGAGGAACATTTTGTAACGTCGCATTGAATTGCATCATGGTTTTCAATCAGATCTCACACCGGCCAGGCTATACACCGTGCCTCGGTACAACAGTGTGCTGTTTATCATAAAAATGGAAGACCTTTCACGTCAAGAAAAGGCGTCAGTCCGATGATATGCGTCTGAATAACTGATTTTTCATTTCCACGTCAATTGACACATCTGGGAAAGGATTTTTCCTTCCCTCCCGTCTACCAAGACAGCTGTGTCATCAACAACCGGCGTGGTTTTGTTGTTGTCTGATTTTTACGAGCCTGGGCAACTGGATTTCAGCATAGTCTGCATCTGCGCCAGCCATAGGCTACCCAGTTACTAAGGTAGGTCTCACACCTTCATTAATATTGCTTCATAAATCATCGCTTCGGTTGCCTACATCATCCAGCCTATATATCCAGCTGTCATAGTCAAAAGGCACTGTTTGCTTAATTAGCAGCAGAAAATATGATGCTGTATTGCGGAGGAAACGTCGGGCCTGGTGGCATTTTACGCGTAAATCCCAAGAAATAGAAGGCTGACAGAGAGCTGCTGTGTATTCACAAGCTAAATGATTCAACCTTGAAGCCTCACAGCACATGCCGCTTAATATAAGGCCCGTATTATAGCCCCAAACACAAAAGAGATGTAAAGATATGGCAAGAGCGCCGCGCTGTTTAAGCCACAGTCCGTGTTTAAGTTCAGTCGTGACAAGCCCTTATAAATATTTCACCAAAAAACAAGCCTCCATCAGCTGACTGGTGATGCTGGAGCATGCACGGCGTTATTAATCAAATACCTACACCACAGCACTGACAGCGGTGCCAGTGTTTCCTGCAAGGCCACGATGGAAAACATCTGCATGTTTACTGGGAATAAGAGTATAGCAGGGTTGTATTTGTGTGCGTGTGAATGGGCGGTAGTTACTCCTGATTGTGAAAATACGGCTGAGATGTGTGATGCGTGTGTGTGTGTGTGTGTGTGTGTGTGTGTGTGTGTGTGTGTGTGTGTGTGTGCGTGCACGCAGCCAGGTGAGGATGTGTTGGCGCGTCTTTAAGGTGCGGGAGAGGCAGGCGTCTGGAAGAGGGGAGCCAGATCACCACATGTTTTCTTTTTTCTTTTTTAAAGGAAAAACCATCAAGTGATCAAAACATGATCGCCTCCGCAGTATCCCATCTTAGATCCTTTTATAAGACCAACCAAAAGGATCGAGGGCTAGTGAATTAAACGTGAAATTAACGTTAGTCAGTTGTGTTTTTTTCGCCTTTTTCCGGGCGTGACAGTCACTCAAAACGAGCATCACTCCTACCGAGAGATCTCTTCCACCACCCCACCAAGGCTTAAAGAAACGTTTACAAAAGCAGGTGTTATTTAGCTGTTGAAATAAAAAATATTTATTATAGCTCTTTCAGAGGAAGTTGCATTTACCTGACTCTCTTTAATCTCTTCAAATATCATTTGGATGAATCAAGCAAGGCTACCTGACTTGGCAGGAAATCTATACTGAATAGACATTTTATTTTGACATGATTAGTCATGTCATTTCATGGCTGTCTGTCTGTCACAAAAACAAAAAACAAATACAATATGAGAATTTAAAAGGACTTGGGACAAAATATCACAAAACTGCATTCCCTACAGGAATAATACAGACACTCTTGTTTGAATGTGGAAATTTCTTCATGATTTTTCTTCAGGGATGATTCACTGCTATGCTGGATACTTCACTATCTGCTAGAAATTGAATTGAAACTAATTGCCAGCCGGTCTTGCTTGACCTTGGAGCTGAATATGACAAAAATCTTCCATCACAAGACTTAAAATCATGGGTATGGCTTACAGATACAGATCAACAGGATCTGATATGTGAGTGTGTCTTGTGCTGTTTAGTTTAAGCGCTCGTCGGAGGAGAGCAGGGATGGGTGAGAGCAGCTGTGACTGTGGGGTCATCGAGTGCAGGCTGTGAGCCACACATACTGTGCAGTGTGTCTTGAATGCAGAGGAAAACCGGGGCGAACACAACTTGTGTCATTGCTCACCAGGTGAGCCTGAATTCAGTCCAGGAATGTGATTATATTGACAAACCGTAACTCTCTGTGGCAGCTCAGTCAGTTTGTGCATTGCAGTGTGGAAATAAATGGAATATGTCTCATTGGAGCCCTTTAGTCCTTGAGGATTTATCCTGCTAAATCAGAATGTAGAGCTTTTAAAATATATTTCAAATATGAAATTTTATGGAATGAAAGTGGGCAGAGCTCGTGTTTGTGATGGACAGAGAGAAAAAATGAACATAAAGTCACCAGTGTTTCTAATAAGGGAGAAAGGATGGAGCTTTTCTCTAAGAAGTGAATGATTCATTTGCTCTGACCGGCAGTGTGTATCATGTCTGATTCCATCAAGCGATGGGAAATGTATAATAAATGTAAATATACTGGACCCAGGGAGGATGAGGGAAGGCCCATGCATGGTCAGAGAGGGGAGGGACCGATGAGGATGGAAGACAGGGAGCGATGAGACTGATGGATGTGAGACAGACGTGGCAGATGCTGACATTTTAAGCCCATTCCTCTAGTCGAGTGGATCCCCCTGTCTGGATGAGCAGTAATGGATTTATTTATTTATCTATTTGTTTGTGGCTGTGGGTTTCCTGTAGCACCCAAACAGAGTTTGACCAGCAGAAGGTCAATAGGTTGGTAAAAGTAATATGAATGGCTGCGACTGGCTAATTGTGGAGGTATTTTAAAATCAATACTGCTGTAGTTATGGTTAGCTGGCTTTAGTGTGCATTGTTTTTGTTTTGTTTTTTTGAAGAGGAGAGCAGGTGCTTCATCCATCTGTGCTTTCACCATCTTGATTCTCAGCTCTGTCAGAGACAGATCAGAAATGATGGAGGAAGAGTGTCTCTGCTGCAGCATGGGAGCAATGTGAGTGACTCCTATCACTGAAAAATTCAGGATTTATAAACTTTGCTTCTGGTTTTGTTTTCATCAGGCCAATGATCATCATAGTGTGTGTGTGTGTGTGTGTGTGTGTGTGTTTCTTTCTCTGTGAGTAGAAAAGATCACTGTTTTTTTTGTTTGTTTACCTCTGAGGCAGTTAAAGTTTGCCCCTAGTGGTTTCGGATTGAATCTTGCCACAGTTTTCACTCCCATCACTCTGCTTCACCTCCCCCACCACTTACATGCTGAGTAAATAACATTTGAGTCAAAGTGATTAAACAGCCCACTAGAGCTGAAACAATTAGTCAGTTAGCTGAATAATAATTTCATTAATTTTTTGAGCAAAAATAGTGTAAAATGCTACACATTGTAATATGTATGTTTACATGTGTCAACCCAGAGATAATTGGAAACCAACATTATGTAGAAGTTTGCTGGTGTCTTGGAATTGTATATATTATGGAGGCATTGGTTGAGTGCCATTACATATATACAGTGCTGTGCAAAAATCTTATTCCTATCCATCATGTAGAACCATCTGTCTCAAATTTTATTCTGCAGTATGATAATGACACAAAAACAAACAGCCAGTCATAACGAACCATCTTCAGAGACAAGAAGAACATGGAGTCCTGCAGCAGAGCTCCGATCTCAACATCATGGAGTCAGTTTGTATGATTACATGAAGAGACAGAAAACACTGAGACAGCCTCAATCCACAGAAGAACTGTGCAACTTCTCCAAGTGTAATGCTTGGAACAACCAACCTGCCAAGTACCTTGAAAAACTGTGCAAGTGTCCAGAGGAGAACTGGTGCTACTTTAAAGTTGATTTGATTCAGTTTTTTTCTGTTTACGGCACTTTGTATGAAATTCATCGATATATAAAAACTAGTAATTAAATTATTTTTAAAACTCCTCACTATACATTTAGTGCTTAACACTTTTGCACAGTACTGTATATTTTGTAAATCAGCATGGTAGTTAATCTATTGATAAAGCAGTAGATGTCTTTGAGGGTTGGAATTTTCTTTTGTTTTATCTTGCTATTAAATTTCCTTGTACACAGAATGTGTAACACTTGTACTGTTTTGACACAAAGTTAGCAAACTAATATATTTTTTGTTTCAAAGAAATGTGAATATTGCAGTATCACAATGGAAAGGTTTTTTTTTTTTTACTGCAGTTTTATAACATTGGTAAGAGAGACTTGTAAGAGAAAGACTGTAAGACACTGGTTAACAATAAAACAGCAAGGGCAGAGATATCCTTCTACTTTTTACTCCCTATAATGAAACTCAGTAGCATCTCTTTTTAGACACTCTCTTCTCGCCTCCAGTTTGTAACACAGGTTTTACGTAGGTTAAGAATTTGTAATGTCCAAGACCAAACTTAGATAACCCAGGTGACATCACTATGACATCATCACAGTTATTTTCTCTTGACAAAACTTCTCAAAAAGCCACAGACGGAATCATATAATTGTTTTCACAGAGTGAGAAATCACAGTGGGAGTTTCCCTTTAATCTTCAAGTGTCTGTCACAAATGTAGGTCAAATTGATTTAATTACTCAAAACTACATTTTTTGTATCATTTTTGTGCTGCATATTAACATGAACTCATCATAATCACATGTTGAATCAAATGATCCACAACGTTGTTGGCTCTATTTCAAATTAATATCATATCCCAACTTCCTGTTAAATTCAACAATAAGCCATTTGTTTCTTGTGGATCAAATCAACTTTTTCATGCGCTTGAGTCATTCACAGTGTTGAATTGTTAATATGTCTAAAGGTAAAGGTTCTCCCTGGTGGCTCCTTGATTAAAGGGCATGCCATTTACCAGCGATGTCCTGGGTACAAATCTATATACAGTCTATGGTACAAACCCAGCCTTGGACATTAGATAGATATCAGCTCCCTTTGTCTCATGTTTTTTTTTGTCCAGTAAAGAAAAAAAAAGAATTGAATCCCATTAGACTTGTTCAGCTGTGATTCCCAAGCTACAGTCCCTCTCTCTAAATAGTTATCATAAGGGCATACAAATTGCCCACTTTACTTTGGAAATGATTGCCATTTTTAGTCTCGTGGCTTTTTTTTTTCCTGATGCACTGGATGCGGTGGCTGAAGAAAAAAAAAAAAAATTGAAAATCAAAATTTAAATGGACAGACAGCCCCTGCTCCCACTGAGGGAAGAAAGCAGAAGGAAGGATGACTTTGCTCTACAAATGACCACAGACTCCTTGATGCTGTATTGTGAAGCTGCCTCTGCAGCCACGTTGCTGTTGTTGTTGTTGTTGTTGGCTTGCTGGGTGCTCCTCACTTTAAAAGATCATACATGCGTGTCCCTTGTCTGACAGGAGGATGTTTGGGATGTATACAGCCAAATGAGCCAGTGAAAAT